CTATCATCTATCTGTCTGCCTGTCTGTATCTCTATTTCTATCAACCATTTACTATCTATTTCTTTTCTTTTCTTTCTATCTGTGTATCTATCTGTCTGTGTCTCTATTTCTATCAACCTTTTGCTATTTCTCTATCTATCTATCTATCTATCTATCTATCTATCTATCTATCTATCTATCTATCTATCTATCTATCTATCTATCTATCTATCTACGAATCTGCAAAATGAAATATATTTCTTTCTGTTGACAGTATTGACAGCTTCTGTGCTGAAGGCATCCCTTTTCTGGGCATTCTAGTACAGTCACGGCATTTGAGGACCGTGGTTCACGTCCTGGATAAAGTGTTGCTGCTGTTCTACCCGTGCCATTACTACCTTCTCAAGAACGAAAAGTGAGTTCAGATTTGATCATGATTTGGCTGATCTTTTCACCCCATTGGTCTCTAAGCCTTCTTAGAAGACCTCAGAGTCCCATACCTGAAATCCAAAACATTTTGCTGAGGTCCCATCACTGAGGCAATGTCATACAGGTAGTCCTTGACTTACAGCCGTTCACTTAGTCACTGTCCCAAGTTACAATGGCACTGGAAAAAAAAATGACCGAGAACTGTTTTTCAGGCTTAATGACCATTTCAGCATCCCCAAGGTCACGGGATCAAAATTCAGACAACTGACATGTATTTTATGCATGACAGTTAGAACAATTAACCAGTGGAACAACCTGCCTCCAGAAGCAGTGGATGCTCCAACACTGGAAGTTTTTAAGAAGAGACTGAGGCTCCTCCAGTGGACCATGCCTTGGCACTTGCCCCGGTCCCACCCCCTTCTGCCAGAGACCCTCAGATCTGTCCCACTCCTGCCCAGGCCCCCACAGGCCCCCTTGACGCGAACAATGTAGAGCTGGCCACGTCCACTCAGTAAGCCACACCCACTCCATCCATGCCCACCCAGCAGGCCGCACCCACCTTGGCCACACACCCCCATCCCCCCCCCAGGGCAATCACAATGCTGATGTGGCCGTCAATGAAATTGAGTTTGACACCCTGTTCTAGGTCATCCAGGTTGTGCTTATCCCAAAGGTGCTTTTTTTCAGGAGGCAACTGGACTTCCTTTGTTTTTCTTTGAAGACGTTTCGCTTCTCCTCCAAGAAGCTTCTTCAGCTCTGACTGGATGGTGGGGAAATGGAAGGATTGATACTCCTTGCAGACAGCTGGTCATTTGCATCCTTTTAGAGAGTCGTTGAGGCCACTTGGAGGTTTACCTGTGTCCTGAGGGTCACCTGAGTGGTGCAAAGGGGTGGTGGAGAACAAACCCATCAGGACAAGAGTCAGCAGACCATCTGCATTTAAAAAGACAAAGGCCTATTGTTTTGAAGACAGCCAAGTCCACATTTTGGACAGAGAGGACCGCTGGTTTGAAAGAGGGGTCCAAGAGGCCATCTAGGTCAAAACTGAACAGAGGGGGGAGGGATCTGACATCATCTATCTCCAGTCAACAACAAAGTTCTTTCAGCAGTCCCAAGAAGGCTCCACACCAGTTTGCACCACTCAGGTGAACCTGAGGGCACAGATGAGCCTCCAGGTGGCCTCAACGATTCTCAGGAAGAGTACTAACGACCAGATGACTGCAAGGAGTATCAATCCTTCCATTTCCCCACCATCCAGTCAGAGCTGGAGAAGCTTCTTGGATGAGAAGCAAAACATCTTCAAAGAAAAACAAAGGAAGTCCAGTTGCCTCCTGAAAAAAAAAGCACCTTTGGGGTGGCTTCTATATGGCTGCTCCACTTGACAATCCGTTGCTCTTCTCGCGCTAGGATGGAGGGAGGACTTCGGCTGGGGTACGAATCGAGAAGCTTCTGCCATTGACCGGATAACTAGACGGCCCACTTGTTTCTGGCTTTTTTAGGTTTCTCTCCTTCTTCCACCAGTTCCTTCAGCTGGACAGTGGTGCTCCCCAAGGGATGACTCAGCAGATGACCCACAGGGTGACTCAGCATTTGACCTGGACAAGCTACGGCAAAAATGTTAAGCTGTTGAACTCCATGATTCAGGTCAGGAAAGAGAGGTGCATCGGAGGTCCCTGAAGACCCTTACTCTGCTTCCAATCAGACAGAGGACTGGGATCCCATACAACACAGGCCCCCATCCTGTCTCGGTGGGCGGACCGGAGGGAAAAGGGAAGGGGAAGCATTTTACTCACACGTATGCGCAAGCGGGGCAACGGCGAGCACACGCGCGATGCAAATGGGGCAAAGCGCTAGTGCCCACGTGACACTCGCTAGCCCTGTCCTGTTTTCACCGTGCGGGCACCAGTGCCGACCCGTTTTTTGCCACGTGCCCTGTTTAGGCCGCGCGGCGCCCCGTTTTTCCCGCACGGCGCCCTGTTTAGGCTGCACGGCGCTCCGTTTAAGTCGTGTGGAGCCCCGTTTAGGCCACGTGAAGCCCCATTTAGGCCACATAGAGCCCCGTTTTTGTCGAATGGCACCCTGTTTAGGCCACACAGCACCCCGTTTAGGCCACGCAAAGCCCCATTTAGGCCACACAGAGCCCCATTTTTGCAGAATGCCACCCCGTTTAGGCCACACAGGCCCCCATTTAGGCCATGTGGAGCCCTGTTTAGGCCACACAGCCCCGTTTTTGCCGAATGGCACCCCGTTTAGGCCACACAGCCCCCCATTTAGGCCATGTGGAGCCCCGTTTAGGCCACACAGAGCCCCATTTTTGCCAAATGGCACCCCGTTTAGGCCACACAGCCCCCCATTTAGGCCATGTGGAGCCCCATTTAGGCCACACAGCCCCATTTTTGCTGAATGGCACCCCGTTTAGGCCACACAGCATCCCATTTAAGCCACGCAAAGCCCCATTTAGGCCACACAGAGCCCCATTTTTGCCGAATGGCACCCCGTTTAGGCCACACAGCCCCCCATTTAGGCCATGTGGAGCCCCATTTAGGCCACACAGAGCCCCGTTTTTGCCGAATGGCACCCTGTTTAGGCCGCACAGCACCCCGTTTAGGCCACGCAAAGCCCCATTTAGGCCACACAGAGCCCCATTTTCACCGAATGGCACCCCGTTTAGGCCATGTGGAGTCCCGTTTAGCCCATGCAGCTGCGGCGCTAGTGCGAGCGGGGACAACTGCAAGCACTGGCCAGCCTGTCCTGCGGCCCAGTGGCCAGGAGGCCAGGGCCCGGTAGTGGGCCGCGGCTCACAGGCTGGGGACCCCTGCCCTAAAGAACTATATTCAGTGCTACACCACATTCATTCTCACCTGGTAATGGAGGCAGAAAAAGTCTTGCCAGCCCTGAAACATCAGGCTGAATTGTGGCCGCAATTCGAGGACAACCTGTGTAGGCCTTGGATCTCCCCCCCCTCCTTTTTTTTTTTTTTTTTTACTGCGAGCCCAACAATCGCCCTCTCGGCTTTATTTCGACAGGGCCACATTTTTATGAGCAGCCACCCGAGCGGAATTGGCCCGGCTGCCGTGTTTGAATTCTGGGTCCAGCTCCTGACCAGCCAGCCGCTGTGGCACAAGGAGAGAGCCGTCCTGGAGCTGATGGACGGCCTGTGCCAAGCTGCGTTCCAGTTCAACCAGGAGGACTGCGTGCAGAAATTGCTCTACCAGCAGCACAAGGTACACGGGTCTTCCTCCCGGCTGGCTTTCCCCACAGAGGTTTCCAGCGGGGAATAGCCTTGTCGTGATTTCCGACAATAATAGAATAGAATAGAATAGAATAGAATAGAATAGAATAGAATAGAATAGAATAGAATAGAATAGAATAGAATAGAATAATAGAATAGAATAGAATAGAATAGAATAGAATAGAATAGAATAAACAGAATAGAATAGAATAGAATAGGAGTAGAGTAGAGTAGAGTAGGGAATAAAATGCAGAATAGAATAGAATAGAATAGAATAGAATAGAATAGAATAGAATAGAATAGGAGTAGAGTAGAGTAGAGTAGAGTAGAGTAGAGTAGAGTAGGGAATAGAATATAGAATAGAATAGAAGTAGAGTAGAGTAGAGTAGAGTAGGGAATAAAATGCAGAATAGAATAGAATAGAATAGAATAGAATAGAATAGAATAGAATAGAATAGAATAGAATAGGAGTAGAGTAGAGTAGAGTAGGGAATAGAATGCAGAATAGAATAGAATAGAATAGAATAGAATAGAATAGAAAATATGGAATGGAATGGAATAGATCTGGAAGGGACCTTGGAGGTCTTCTAGTCCAGCCCCCTGCTCAGACAGGAAACCCTATACCATTTCTTAAAATCTCCAGTGGGGTATTCACAACTTCTGGAGGCAAAAGCTGTTCCACTGGTTAATTGTTCTCACTGTCAGGAAGTTTCTCCTTAGTTCTAGGTTGCTTCTCTCCTTGATGAGTTTCCATCCATTGCTTCTTGTCCTGCCTTCAGACCCCTTGGAGAATAGCTTGACTCCCTCTTCTTTAGGGCAGCCCCTGAGATACTGGAAGACTGCTATCCTGTCCCCCCTCGTCCTTCTCTTCATTAAACTAGACATACCCAATTCCAGCAACCGTTCCTCATATGTTTTAGCCTCCAGTCCCCTGATCATCTTTGTTCTTCTCTGCACTCTCTCTCTCTCTCTCTCTCTCTCTCTCTATCTATCTATCTATCTATCTATCTATCTATATCTATATATCTATATTTATCCACAATGGGTTGGGTTCACACAACGGACCCTGCCAGATCCAAACAAACCGCATGATGGATTGATACCAATCTTTAAAGCGGATTTTTTTTCCATGGCTTCTAATCAGGAATCCACATTTATTTTTAGAAGCTCAGTTCCAGAAAATTTAAGTCAGGTAGGGAAGATATGTGGTGGACCTTGTCAGTGAAAGAATTCTGGTTGGTGGTGGTCCAGGAAGAGAGCCTTCTTTGCCACTCCCCCCTCCTTCGGATTATACTCCCCCAGGGTGGGGGGATGTGCCCCCCCCTAGTTCCTTGGCTTTTTGAAAATACCTAAAGTCTGGGTCTGGCATCTCGCTTGAAGCTCAAACAGAGGAGCACAGTTAGCATTCTGAAGACCCTCTCCCTGCCTTTTAATTAACTTTTAATGTCACATTTTAAACTCTTCTCGCCCTGTTTTAAATGTTTATATTCCATTTTGTTGCTGCTAACATTTTATTTGTAACCCGTCCGGGGTCCCTCCACGAAGGAGATGGATGGTTTCTAAATACGATAGATAAATAAATAGGGCTGCTTAGGTTCCATTGTTATGGAAGAACCCTATAGGAAGGTGGCATTATCTTACCCACATGTCCTCTCTTTTCCTCAAATCTCCCAGAATGCTCTAGGCTATCACAGTGACAAAGGGCTGCTGTCCTCCTTGGTCAGCTGGATTGTGGCAGGCAACATCACACCTTCCTTCGTCGAGGGAAATGCTAACCACACACAGGTAAGAGTTGAAATGCTAAAATTAGCTGGGAGCTTACGGCCCGTTCTTGTAGGACAGGGGTCCCCAACACCCCCGGTCTGTGGACCGCAGCATGCCAAAAACCGGTCCGCACAAACAAGCAAAGCCCCATCCGCGGGATGCAGGCAGCACACAAACCCACGCACCCTCCGGTCCGCGGAATAACCTCTCTCCATGGAACCAGTCCCTTGTGCCCAAAAGTTTGGGGCCTCTGCTCTAGGGCCTATCTGAACATCAGTGTAGGAATTTAAGGGAATCAATCTGTTTGGTTCCAGTAGTTTCACTAACGCCTCCAACCCACATTTTGCATCCAGCTTGGTGACACTTAATTATGAGTGTGTTTACTTAGAAGCCACTCGCTGTAGTAGTAGAAATAATAATGATGATGATGATGATGATAATAATAAAGTTGGAAGGGACCTTGGAGGTCATCTGGTCCAACCCCCTGCTCAGGCAGGAAACCCTATACCATTTCAAACAAATGGCTATCCAGTCTCTTCTTAAAAACCTCCAGTGTTGGAGCATTCACCGCTTCTGGAGGCAGGTTGTTCCACTGGTTAATTGTTCTCACTGTCAGGAAGTTTCTCCTTAGTTCCAGGTTGCTTCTCTCCTTGGTTGGTTTCCATCCGTTGCTTCTTATCCTGCCTTCGGGCGCTTTGGAGAGTAGCTTGACTCCCTCTTCTTTGGGGCAGCCCCTGAGATACTGGAACACTGCTATCATGTATCCATGTGCAGGAATGTGCTTGTTAACCAGTGCTGTTTAGAGGTTGCAGCTTCTGTAAGAACATGAATTAGATCACAGTTGGTGCCTGCTTAGCTAGCATTGTGTAAACCAGGGGTCCCCAACCCCCGGTCCGTGGACCGGTACTGGGCCGCAGCATGCCAAAACCCGGTCCGCACAAA